GTTCCTGACCTGGTTTTCTTTTAATTTATTTCTAAATCCCTTGCTCTTGTTTTTGACCACGAACAGCAGAGCTGGAACAGGTACTGTGAGCTGATGGGGAAGGCAGGAGAGTAACCAGAAGCCAGCCTGGAAATCACACTGGGGAAAGTCCAGGTTTGTCTTGCAAGGTGCTGCTCATTCTGCCAAGGCTGGGTAGGGGTTGCTGGTACTTACAGCAACAGTTTGCATCCTCCTGTGCAGTTGCACAGCACGTAATGCTAACTGGCAGAGCTCCCTAATGCAGCTCTTTGCTGCCTTCTTTTAGAGCTTTCATTTTCTCTCTTGTTAATGATTTCCTTGTGGCTGTGTCCTAAAGAGCTGTGTTTGAAAGTTTTAAATGCTAAGGTGTTAATCTTCTGGAATCTGTTCATAGCCTTTCTGGTCACAAATGATAAATGGATTGACCAAGTTCCTGGATAGTGTGGTCGGTTCAAGCTGCATTTTGTGGATATTAATAACTAATGGCTAAAAAAACACCACAGAAACAAACCTATTCCCAAAGAAACTGTGGCAAGGGAAATTAAGTTCCTCTGGTTTGAAGCAGTACTGCTTACTGAATAACCTTCCTTAGAAAGGAGGTATAAAAATTTAAGTTATTCTGTTGCACCCTGTGAAGGCAAAAATATGCTTTAGTGCAGTTAACTCTTCCTGAAATGGATATTTCTACTCTTTAAGTAGTTTAGATTCCAGAACGCATAGGTGTATGGAAAAAAAAAATCATTAGCTGTAACTCATTAGCTCTGTTCAAGCAGCAACAAACCTTTAAAAATTAATAATTTTCATGAGGAATGCTAAGTCTGTGTTGTAAGATGTAACATACATTCAGTGCAAGATTTCAATTGAAGCTGACAGGGAGCCTGCTGGGGAGGGGTTGAGCAAGGACCCCCAGAATTAATCACCTGTCAGTTAAATTTCTTGGGTTTAAACCCACAAATAATTCTATCTTTGTAAAGTGTCTTTATGATGTAAATACACGAAGCCTCACCCTAAATTGATTTCCTTTCCCCTTTAATACTGATTCTACAACCAGGAGAAATACTAACATCTCATAGAATTTAATGGGAGCATTGACATAGTTGAAATTACTCTTTTAAGGTTATAAAATACAAAAATACCAATAGTCCCTTCAAGAGCAAAAGTATGAAGGTGATTAGAAGCACTGCCAGATGCAAAATCTAGTGACTCTTGTTAAAAACTAAGATGTACCCTGAAACATTTGCATCACTTTCCATGAACTAGAGTGGAAATGCAAGAGGAAGTAGAAAAAAAAAATCTGCTACATGTGATTCTCCATGGGTTATGCTTGCAAGAATGAAAACTAGAAGTAGATTTTCTGCTATGTGAAATTGCTGAATCCCAGGGATCAGAGGGATTTCCTGGAGTGGTGCTGGGGCCCTGAGCTCCCAGAGCAGTGTCACTGCTGTGGCACTGGGCTGGAGAGAGGGCTGGGAAAGCTGAAGGTGGAGGCTTGAATGCCCTTTCTAAAGACTGACCATGTGAAAAGAGCAGTCAGAGAATGTTCTGAGGTAAATTGTGTGCTTTGTACCACTGAATGCCCTCCCTCCCTTGAGCCTGGGGGAGGTGGGTGCTGAGAACTGCCAGTGGTCACAGGCAAAGCCAAGGCAGCTTTCACCGTTGTGTGTCTCCCCTTTTGACTCTGCAAGGAGCTCTGCTGTCCCACACTGTAGTTGGGACTATCCCATGTTGTGTTTTCCTTTGTAGATATATTTTCCTGCTTTTCCTTTGAGGAATTCTGGTGGCTGGGTTGAAGCTGCTGCTGGTGCAGATCTCCAAAGCTCACGTGGTGCCCCAAGTGTTGTGCAGACAATCTGCTCCAAGTGCAGTGCAGATATATTTATTTCTGTTTGCAGTCTCACAACATGATAGCCCTGCTGATATCTCTGCTAAGGAAATCAACATTGCTGAGTAAATATTAACCATTGTACACAAAACCCTCAAGAGAACTTGCTGTTGTTTAAAAATGGTGCTGCTGATCTGAAGAGCTCCAATGGCTCTGCTGGAGAATGGCCAAGCTTGTTCAGGATCCTTGGGAGGGTTCTGGCCCTGCTTTTCCTGACCCATGTAACTACAGGCTGCATCTGATAGGGGAAGAAGAGATTTGATGCCGTTAGTCTTCACTCCTATGTTATTAATAGCATCAGTAGGGTTACAGAAATACCAAGCCGCAGTTAAATATTCACATTTTCCTGACAGAGCCTATGAATTGAGACTTATGATCTTTCTAAGAAAGAAATCTATGCAAGGTTTAGACTGGTCAATCAAAAAAGTTTTAAAATAAAGAATTCAAATACCTTGTGATGTTTTCCCTTTTCTCTAAATCCAGGTATTTACTCTTAAATGAAAGGGTAAAATTCAACAAAGAATTTGAGGTTTTTATTATTAGTGTTTTGAATTTTCCCGTTCAACCTTAATGACTGTAAATTCAGTGGAAGATTGTCACATAATTGTGCTGGACTTTCCAGAAAGTGCTGAATATTATAGCATTCCATGGAAATGATGCCAGTTTCAAGGGTTTCACTTTTCCTTTGTTATGGTTCCCTCTCTGTCCCCATTTATAGTTGCAGAATTTCGTGATTTGTCTGCTTTCCCCTCCTCCCAGGAAGACGATCTTGGAGGCTGGAAATCTAAGGGAATTATGACAGCAGGGAGACTAAACTAAAACTAATTTATAGACTTGTAAACAACCTGAATAAAAAGAATTTTCTTTATATGCCTTTTGAAATTATCTGCCCATAACTTAAAGATTTGTGTGTTGGTGATGGAGCATTTCTTGTTCAGTTGTATTTCCAGTGACGAGTCCTAGAGACAGAAAGGCAAGCCTGTGTGTAGCTGACCTTTCTAAGAAGAAGCAGAAAATCACATTTTGTCTTTAGGGGGAGAAGAAGCAATATTTAAACTGTCTTTGTGCATCCTGAAGAAATAAGTAAGGTGAATCCCATACTTCACTGTGTTATGTAAATCCCTACCTTAAGGCTTTACATATATAATTAATTTGAATTTTTTAAAAAATCTATTCCAACCGAAGTATATATGCAGTTAGGAAATTGTATGTAGATAAGCTGATGTATAGATAAAACATTAGCATGACAAATGGGCCAAAGTTGCTTCTGGTATGGAGAATTGCCTCATTTGTCTGGATGAATCTGGCAGTGTTATATGGTTACAAATTGAAACCAAATAATTGCTGCAAGCAGAGAAAAAGCGAATCAGCAGTACGAATGTGCTAACATTTTCCTTCCTTTCTTTCCCCCTTCACTTTCCAGGAGGGTGTAGAGTTTGGCATAGAACTGTGAATTTATTTGCAGGTGACTATCAGATGGTAAAATACACATTAGTGTTTCAAGAGGAAAATGAACTCCCTCGTGTATTTGCTGGCTTTTGTGGTTTTTTAATTTCAATATTTGTGATCAGATGATGACATTCAGTGTAGCTTCTGACCTATTGATCCTGCCAAATACTTTCAGCCCAGATTTGCAAAGGCCACTCTTGGGTGAGGACAGGGGCCATTTAGCCTGCAAGGGACAGTCTCAGAACCTTGCTAAAGAACACTGGAGACTGTGCATGAAGAAGCTCTGAGAAATGTCACACTTTAGCCATGAGATTCACTATTTTGCCCTTGGTTTGGTCCAGGAGTGTTCCCTGTGCGAAGCCTGCTGCTCGTGTGTTTTCTCTGCCTTGTCCCTTCCCAGTTCCCATGGACAGGACACCCTCACACTGAGCACAGCAGCAGGGGGGGGTGGCTGTGATTTCAGCTGCATTTCCCATGTCTGTGCAGTAGGTGTGGACACTCATTCCTGGACCTGTGGGCTGTCTAAGCTGGATTTTTACACTGTGTTGTTTTTGGTGGTTCTGCTGTGCAGAATCCTGTGAGCTGGAAAGCTCACAGGAAAGTACAATGTTGACTGTCTTTGGTTGCAGTCTCACATTTTTATTTGACTGGCATTAGTAGCTCTCTCAGAGTAGTTCCCTTTCCGTTGCTTCTGCTGCTCTTCCTTCCCACCTTCATGTTGCATTGTGCCACTCTTGGAATTTGTAGGGATAAACTAGTTCAATTCACTAGAACAGTGAGGAAATAACTCCATGATACACCATTGAGCAGTCTTTGCTCCTCTACTGTTTACTGTGTTGCTGCTTGCTGTAGGACCAGACAAAAGTCAGAGGTATGACAAAGAGGAGGAATCTTGTGTGTAGGGAATTTTGGCTTAGTAGAACAGGGTTTGAGGGAGAGGGTTTGTGGGAGCCTGGTTGGACATGACCTTCCCCTTCTGGTGTGACTCAGTGGTGGATTCGGTTGGGCTCAAACATTTCAGTTGGATCTGTTGCTTTTCTTTATATGCCAGACCTGAGGTGGCATCCATGTATGTTTAATTATGGTGAAAGCAAGGGGCTTGAGACTTCAAAGGTCTTTTTACAGTGTGGTGTAACTTATTTTATCTTAAATGTCACAGTAATCCCACAATGATGTGGGTACTTGATACAGCTGCTCACCAGGAGCTGAGCCACTGCTGCTGAAAGAGCTGACTGGGTTTCACAGGTGTTAATGCAGAGACTCCTAAAGGGATCAAGACACAGTCTCTAAATGCAAGAAAAGAGTGATCTTTTCAGGCTTAATTTCTATGAAGCAAAGAACACCTCAAAAACTGATCTTATGTTTGGGTCAAGGGACTTGTTATATTCTGAAAAGCATAAAGCAAAGACTAGATATCTGTGTGACAGCATTACAGATTTCAGAGGAAATAATATTTTGTTTTATTGGCTAGTAAATTATATGAGGCACATGAAATCCCTCTTAAAATGAGAGATGAACTTGAGGAATTTCTGTCTAATTACATTTTTAGTGAGATGTACCTCTTTCAGAAAATAATAGTTATTTTTGAATGTGTTTTTAGATTGCTTCCACAATGTTAGTGTTCTCAAAACATCTGTTTGTTTCTCAACAGATATAAAAAACATCTAAAAAATAAAAATGGCTGAACTGGACCATGGAACATTGTTTTCAGCTCCTAGGATTAGTGATGGAGGTGTGTATGCTATCATGTTCAAGTTTAATTGTTTTATCAACTGCTTGTGAAATATTCTGTGCAACTAATAGCTGCATATAGAAGCTACTGTAGCTCTCTGATCATGGTTTGGGTTGGGAGGGACGCTAAAGCTCATCCAGTTCCACCCCCTGCCATGGGCAGGGACAGCTTCCACCAGCCCAGGTTGCTCCAAGCCCCGTCCAGCCTGGCCTTGGACACTTCCAGGGATCCAGGGGCAGCCACAGCTTCTCTGCCCAACCTGGGCCAGGGCCTCCCCACCCTCCCAGGGAAGAATTTCTTCCTCGATTCCTGCCTGAATCTGGCCTCTTTTCGGGTTAAAACTGTTGCCCCTCGTGCAATTTACAGGCCCTGGTAAAGAGTCTTTCTCTGTTTTCATTATAAGCCCCCTTTATATATTGAGAGGCTGCAATAAAGCCTTCCTGGAGCCTTCTCCAACTGAGCATCCCCACCTCTCACAGCCTGTTCTCCACATGAGAGATGTTCCAGCTTTCCAGAGCGTTTGGCTCTGGAGTTTTTACCTCCTTGAATGTGGAATGATTTTCCATGATCTCTGCTGGACAGTGTTTCAAGCAGCCTCAGAAAGAAGGAAAAAAATCTTTACACAGAAAAACCCACAAAGGGGGCTTAAAAAAGCTGCCTAAAGACTGGGAGAAAGGAGGTTGTTCGTACTAAGCTCACAGGGTAAAAAGGAAGAATTTAGTGGATCAAACTACTGAATGCTTTTTGTTTAAGGTATATAGAGAATAAAGAAATAGTCTTAATACAAGATCAGAGCTATAACCTGCTTAGCATAACACTGACCTGGTGGAATAATTGGTGTGATGAGAAGATGAATGGTGAGAAAATGAGGACTGGTGAGCAGGAGGGAAGGAGGGAGCCCTCGTGTGTCCTCTCCCCTGCACGGGGGTTGCCTGTGAAACTCTGGATGATGAGGAGGAGGGGGAAGAAGCCACAGTTCTGTTCTGAATGGCAGCCTGGCACAGTCCCATGAGCCAGGAAATCTGTGCATGAACACTGGGCAGCTCTGTCTGAGGTTACCTCAGAGGTTCTCTCTGGTTCTGTTGACAAATCCCATTCAGGCAGGGTTTGCAGTCCTGATTTTCTGGAGTTGTTCTGATATAACTGTTGGTCTGTGTGGCTGGAGATGCAGTGGGAAATGGAACTGCAACTCATCCCCTTTGCATGGGTTTGGTAGTTTTTATACCTCTTAGAAAAAAATCACTCCATAGGTTGCTCAATCCATAGGTTACAATAAACATTGAGGCAGTTTTCTGCTTGCTGCAAGAAGAATGCATATATTGAAATTTAGGTATTTCTGTATTATAAGTTACTAAAATTCCAGTAAATGCAGTTTAAAGTGAATTCATAATGAAATTCACATGTAAACAATGCTTTTAAAACATTTTGTAAACATACAGCTGGTTACTGTTTCTTATATAATTCTCATTTCCCAACTAACAGTCTCTGTTATGGAAACTTCTGGTGTTTAAAATATACTGGTTCTAATTTCTATCTATAATGCTTTCATTTTATGACTCACACTTAAATTATTTCTCCAGAATTTGAAATGACCTTATGTGTTTTATGTGACAACTAGAAAATCCAGTGATTCCTGCAAGAAAGGCTCTTTGCAGCCAGAAGTACAAACCTGTTGACTATAAACATCTGCACGAACTTGCTGCAGAGGCAAAAATGGCCTCTGAAAAAACTCAGTTAAAGGTAGGATTTTTGTATTACTTGTAATGCGAATGCTTTTGAAGCTCAATGATCATATTTCTTCCAGCCCCAAGGAATCTGAGAATGAATAGGGATAAAAAATTGGTTCAGCCAGAGGGAGTCAGATATGAGAGTTTATCCCAGTGTTACTGTGCTTTGGATGTGTTAATGTCAATGTATGGACTTTCTTTGAATCAGAGATGCAAAATATGTGTGGATTCTGCTTCCTCAAAAGACAGGAAAAGTTTGTATTTGAGTGCTTTGTGGAAACTCATCCAAACTTATTACGTAAAATCAGAGGCAATGAAGAATTTATGGGAACAAATGGGAAGGTTGACCCAGACAATAAGCTAAACAAAAAAATATGAAGCAAGGATTTCCAAATGTTAAGCTGAGGTAGATCCTAAAAAAAAATTAGAAGTGTTTAATAGCCATAAAATGTAAATGTAGAGTTCGACAGAGAGGTATAAAGAGGTGCAGTAGTGTTCATGTGGTAAAGACCACAGGAATCTGTTTAATAGTACAGAAGGGTGACAGTGAATGAGAGAAAAAATGCATATTTATATACTTTCTTCAATGCAGGAAGCACTGCTTCCTTTAATGCATGGAGGGATCATATACCCAAAGTTCTGGCAGATATTTCTTCACAGATTGGCAGCACAAAATTTTACTGAATTCATCCAAACTTTATTTTTTCATCTTTCTTTTGGGTTTTCACCTTTTCAAGTGTTTTCCAACTGAGTAGGTAGTAAAATATATATATTCTGAAAGCTCCACAGAGAACAGTATGTGTTCCCACCTACTACTTTTTGTTGCTGATTCAAGCTATCCACATTTAGAAGTGCTGGGTTACTCCTCCTTTGAGGCAGAACCAAGGAAACAAATGGTAAATCAGTTGTTGACTGTTTAAGAAATAAAAAGACAGCACACACAGGAAAAAAGGGTAACATTGCAGCAGTTACACAAATACGTAAATGACATTACTGTTGCTATAAAATAACTTCAAGAACATATGTAAAGATGGAGTTTTGTTTCACCTTAGTTTTAGAGCCAATTTGAAGATGTATGTATTTTCAGATCGCTTTAAATAAAGTATTCTGTTTGCTGAGGTCTAGTTTTAGTCACCTGATGGTAACCAAGAGGAAGCTGTAAGTAACTTTTTCAAGATGAAAATAGGTAAGCAATAAAAATAAAAGACATTATGTTTGATTTAGAAGCATTGTAACGTACTGGTTGAGAGCATGGCACGGGTGTGTTCCAGCTCTCTTCTGGTACAGCCACACATGCAGGTTCCTTGTTTCTCAACCACAATCACACAATGTCTCCATGGCCCCTTTTGCAGCTTCTTATCCCAATAATGCCCCATAACCAAGTTTGCTGCCAAGCACAATGGATCAGCCACATTCCAGCTGCTCTCCCTTATTCCTATCTAGGAACCAGGTATATTCAACCAGATGTACAGAACTCAGGTCCATCTGAGATGGGGAAATGTTTCTAGTTTCAAAAGTAGGATTTTAGCTTTGGTGGTGGTGACTGAGGGGCTGTGATTGGAGAATTGCTGGGACCCTCCTTGCTTGCCTGTGAGTGCTGCCCAGCCCAATCCTACAGCTTTCCCTGCTGGTGTCCCTGGCGCAGGCAGGGCAGGAGCAGGAACACGCTGGGGGCTGTGCCTGTGTGTCCTGTGTGTGTTCCCAGTGCTCTCATGCTGGGAGCACAGAGGGCTCAGGGGTGGCTTTGTGCAGCTTGCCCTGGGCAGGACAATTGCAGGTTGATTCCACCTGAGCCAAGGGAAAACCCAGCAGTTTTGACTCGGAACATCATTCCTTTGTGGAACTAGATGTGGAGTGAGATCTTTATTCATTTCTCCCTGTTATGAACTAGGACAAGGCTTTCCCATGGTTTTTTCTTGTTTTGCCATTATCTGCAGGAAGGAGGTTCTGGGAAGGGGAAAAAAGGGCCTGTGTGTGAATTTTGGGAGCCGCTGGAGTCAGAAGTTGGCTGGGATAGGGTTGGGCAGGTGTTCTGGAGGAAGGGGATGGCAAGGCAGCACAAAGAGAAGGAGCAGGAAAGGAGCTTTGTCCTCTGTGTGCACTGAGAGAGAGGCCAGGGACAGTCAGGGTGGCAGGAGGGTGAGAGGAAATGTCTCAGGGATGTCTGGCAGCCACAGGCTTTGATCCCTTTTCCTTCACTGTTGGCTGGCCAGAATCGTGTGGCTGCCACTTCAGCAGCCTCCCCCTGGCACCTTTTCCTCTGGCTTAAGCACTAACTCCGTCTGTCTCAAAAGCAGGTATTCCTATTTTATCTGAAGTGTGAAGCAATGTTTTTGTGAAGCCCTCAAACAGTTTCAGAGCCTCTTTAATTGGACAGATTTTGTAAAAATACTCTTTTAGTCATACATTTTTGAAATTCTTTTTCTTGAAGGACACACTTTCACTCTTTCATCTTCCTACCTGTAAGAATGTTTCTTTCTCCTGCTCATCTTCCCCCCTGCTTCACCCCTGGGAAATAGGGATGGAAAAGAAAAGAAGAAAATGGACTGCATTTTTTTCATTTTCTCCTCTCATTTAATTGTGACTTGAAACGGAATAAGCTTCCTTTTCCCCATGAAAATTGGTTACACTTGAACACACTGTTCTTCAGAAAAACGTTTTTAGAAAAAAAGTTTTGAAAAAAGCTGTTAATTCATCATTCTGTAGTAAAATTTTCAATATGAGGGCATTTGATAAAGCTATTGAACAGATTCAAAATACAAGCTTTAATTTTTCCTGCAGATTAAAAAAACAGAGCAAGTTTCAAAGTTTAACAAAGAGCAAATGCTGCTGAAACAGCACCGGCAGGTGTGGTGGCAAGAGCATAAGAGGCTGAGCGAGAGCAGGTAAGAGCTGAGGAACCCGAAGGAGTCCTTGCTGAAGGAAGACAGCAGCAGCCAGAGTTTGTGTATGGAGGTTTTCAGTTTGGGTTCCTTTGGAGTCTGTCTCTGGGTGTGTGTATTGAGTTCTCACTGAGAACAGGGGCCATTGGCACTGCTCCCGTCTGCTGCCCTGGGTACTGTACAGACACAGATCAACAGCAACGTTTGGGGCTTTCTTGCCACCTTCGTGTCCACATCCTGCACTTTATCCCTTCCCAGGCAAAGAATCCCCTTTTTAATTAATTATTTGAGGCTTATCATTCTTGCAAATAAAATGAATAACAAATTAAAGCTTCTGTAAAATCCATGTTCATACCTTTCAGGCAAAAAGCAGAAGGAGAAATAAAGACTTTTCTTAATGAAGCAACTCATAAGCACAACTTTTTGGATTTGAGGGACTTGGGTAAGAATTTTTATTAATTTCTTAATTATTATTTTAAAGTCAAAATTATCTCGATTGCTTGAGTTTTTAAAACCCTGTCTTGACAGGTTTAGATTTGGAGAGCACAGTGCTGTGTAATATTTTGTGTGTTTGAGAAAGCTTTCTTTCGTTTGGATCCAGAGCAGGAATTGTCCAGGCAGCGGGACACTTACCAAACAAACAGTGTAGTTCCTGTCTGGCAGCTAAAGGAAGATTTAAAACTCAAGCTGGCAGAAATGCAGCGTTCCCTCTCAGAAGAATCTTGTCAGAAACCTGAGATCGATTCATTTGAGATATTACAGCAGGTTGGTGTTTTAACTTTATTTTTACAATTTATTATTGCCATATTTTTACCATTTACATTTATTTTTGTTAAACTTTGAGACTAACTGACGCGTAGAGCATCCTGTAACCTCGCTACTTGCCATGGTATAGATCTCTGCTCACTAAAATCTGTAAAAGTGTAGCAGTGTAGGGCTGGAAATCAGACTGTTTCTAAATAAGAGGTTTCATAGTGTAACAAGATAAAGAAGTAACAATAACATGTTTCATAAAACAGATCAAATTTGTGAAGAACCAGCAGAAGGCAGTTTTGGAAGGTCTTGTCCTTGAAAGTCTGGCTTTGGAGAGAGAGCTTGAAGACTACAAAGCAAACGTAAGCTTTTCCTTGTATGTTCAGTTAGCAATTTCTTGAGAGAGAAAATATGATGCAGAGCAGTGTTCTGAGCAGTGTTTCTTCATTGCAGGCATTAGTGGGCTCTTTTGAGGAGAAAAATGGGCTTTTCCATGAAGTTCCTGCTGAGCTGCTGTCTCTGGAATGCCCTTACCCTGACCTGAAGACCTTGGTGATCCAGGAGTACCAAGAGCTTGCCAGTGGGTACTGGGCGAGGCTTCAGGAGGTCGACCAGCAGTTGGAAGCTTTATCCAGGTAAGGACAGGTTTGTGCATGACTTTTCTTGGGGATAAAAGCATCTATAACATCCTTTATAATGTGTAGGTGCTGCAGTTGGCTTTGCCACTCGAGCTGGTGCTGTTTGGTGCAGAGCAGTGCAGGCTCTGCCCAGCTCTGGGCTGGACAGTGGGGAAGTGTTTACACAGCTGAGGGTGGAGCCAGTCCTTGCCAAAGCTCTCTGCTGAAATAATAAGCGACATGTTTGGTGGGATAAGGAACCGACAATCTGGTGTGTATCAAATGTCCTCTTCACATGCTCTTGCAGGAATAGAAGTTACTCTTTCTGCATGGTAATTACTATCAAATTTATGACAGAAAAGTGCAGGCTTTCTGAGACATGTTCAGAACGTTTTTATCTATAAAGCAGATAAAAAGGTCCAATCTTCTCACAAGTTTTGGATCGCTGCAGTAGTTGTCATCACAAAGAAATGTGAAAAATGTATATAGCTCTGATTCAGATTAACTGAAAGAAGGAGAGATTTTTCTGTAAATGAAGCACTTTATAGGAAGAACATTATTCATAATGATCTAGAAATGTAACAAACCTAAATATTAACAGTATAAAGCTTAGTCTTTCTGCTGAGACTGTCTAGAGTACAGGAGAGATACTGAGTTGCAGATATTGGACAGGCTTTGCCTTCTTTTTGCCATCTCCTGATATTCCTGTGGCTTAGGGTGGCTTTGGGTTTAAAGGCTGAGAAGGGGGAGGTCAGTGGAAGGGTTGGAAGCCTGGGCAGAAGAAACTGGGGGAGAGCAGGAAGGTCCCTTGGTTTCTTTGGTAAAGCAATGGCACGCTGCTTCCCAATCTCTGTTTTCTGTATGCACCTCCAGTGCAGCACTTGGATCTTCTGGCCCTGCTGCTGAGATAGTTGGGTGTGCTGGAGCAGGTTCAAGGTGTTGGGTGCCACAGAAAGTGATGTTATGATCTACTTACCTTTTGTACAAATTGTATAGATATTCAGTAGGTTCTTCTTCTGTTATTTGAAACCTGCATATTACTGTAGCATCCTAGCTGTTATAACATGATACTTATTACAAATTGCTTTGATTTATCCCATATTTATAGCATTTATTAAGCAGCAAGTGGCAAATTTACAGCAGTTGCTTTGCTGCTGTCTCTGATATTTTGTTACAGTTGCTGTTAGAGACCTTTTAACAACCTCAGTGAGAACCTGTGACAAATGCTAAATCATTAAATATATACTAAGTCTTTCTAGTGGTTTTAATTAAAATTGTGTTAAAGTTTATAATGAACACAATTTTATTGAGTATTCATAAATTTAAATCCTTGACCCACACAGCATGTGTGCTACTGAATAACAAACATCAATGTAGACAACAGAACGTCTGAAAATGGTTGAAAAATCTGTGGTGGTATTTTCACTGCTCAGAGGCCAAGTGTGAATTCAGGGCTGGAGCTAGGTAATTTTGCACTGGTAATTCAAGAATATCAAGACTTAAATATAAAATGCCATATTTTTAAAGGAAATAAATGCAGTTGTAGCATGAACACATGTGCAGTGGTGCTCTGAAGGAATGAAGTTGTGATCTCTAGGTGGGAACGCCAAAGGGGATGTAGCTGGAGGAAATGCTGGAGGCAGTGGCAGCAATTTGCTGAGAGGAATGTGAGGCAATACTGGGGGGCAAGAGAGCCACTTTGGGTCAGCATGTGCCAGAACTGAGAGCTAGGAATTTAGGGAATCATAAATGAACCATCTGCAATTATCTCAGGCAATTTATTTAAAGCTAGATATTGGGTTTTTTGGAGATCAGAAGGCAAGCAAAATCTTTAATGTATTGCTCATTTATGTTTCTATGATTTTATCCACAGCAACATTAAAAATGTGTTTTCAATTAAAAAAAAAGCAAGACACTGTTCTGGTAGCATTGCTTACTTCCAATATCTGGGTTTATAAAAGATATGACACTCTTTGTCACTTCTTACGTTTATATTGGTTAATTTGCATGGGAATATTCTGTGAGTTTGCAAAGATGCAGCCTTGTGATTGAAGTATTCTATAATTCATCAGGCAGCCTGTGATCCAAGTGGCACAGATAATGCTGTCAGAAATTGGAGTGACAGGTCCTTGACCTTGGTGTGTATCCCCTGTGCTCTACTGATTAATGTAGCCTTAATGAAGCCTTTGCAGTTATTGTCATTGCTCTGCACCCACGGAGACCAAACATCCTCCTGCAATACACTTCTTCCCTTGTTTTGATGATTTGAGAAGTTGCTCAGTAGTACAACTTGACTCTGTGATAACATGGTAACCTGGTCACTTCAGCTGGGATTACTGCTCTGTCCTTCTTTCATCATATGCTTGAATGTACAGTGAAGAAACCTTCAGTTGATACTTCTCTGGCATTGCACATCCCATTTTTAAACTGTTGAGACTGTCTGGAAAAGAGAATTCAGAAAATGCACATATAATGTCCAAAAAAAAGAGTTCAGACTAAGATAATATTCTCTTCTCTTCTGTGTGCTTTTCAGTCCCACTAGAGTGCCCATTGCAGTGGTCATTGCTTTTAGAAATGGAAGAAAAACTTGGGATTTTTTTCAAGCCTAGTATAGCATTATAATATTTTATAATCTAATTTAATTCCTTTTACTGCTGCTAAACCACAAGTTTTTGTGTTTGGGAAATACCCAGGTCCCGAGATATCCCACAAATCGTGGACTTGGAACTGATGTGTGTGTTATAGCTGCTGATTCTCTAAGCCCTATTATATTTTTACCAAGGAAGTCGGAATTATTAAAATCAGTGAAGGATGAATGGATTACTGCAGACTCAGCACTGCATCCTTTCAAATGAGTGGGAGGGTAGGACCAAGTCAGGTACATGGAGCTCCTCTTTGCAGGCCTGTTCCCAGGATGTCTCTGGTACGAGTCGGCAGTGCCATGATTGATAGCAGGGGTTGCCATCTCCCTTGGTGGCATCGTGGCAGCCTGTGTGTCTGCAGAGCCAACACGACAGCGGTGCCAGCACACGCTGCTGCTGCGAGGGATCTGTGGGGATTACAGGGGACAGGGGAGCTTCCCCTCGGAGCTGTTTGTATTCTTTGGGACGTGTAAAGCCAGGGATTAATGCTGGGTAAATCGGTTTCAAAGGAAGCAGCTGCCTCGGGGCTGTTGCAGAGAAGACAATTGCTGTGTTTCAGCTCCAAAACAAAGCCCAGCCTGTGCTGTGCTCTGGTACAATGCTGCACACAGGGACAGCCAGCGCTGCATTTCAAATTTGGGTCATGCTTTCAGCCTGGAAAACGTTCGTCGATATCTGGACACTGCAAAAACCTGATATTACCTTAACTCTTCCTGTCAAATGTGTTGGAGTTTCCAGAGGTGTTGTAGGTGAGCTGTTCCTCTGTGGAATTCCATGGCAGCGTCGCTGAGCTGCTGTCTCGGGTTCCCTCCGCAGGATGTTGACATTCCCTGTGCGTTTGGTGCTGGGAATGAGCTGGGCTGGGTCAGCCTGATTTTTTTTTTTTTGGTCCTATTTGTCTATGAGCAGCTGACAAAATCTCAGCACAGCTGACAAATTTTGGCACAGCTGACAAACCAAGGCACTGGCAGTCAGTTTGTCCCTACTTACAATAAACTACTTGTAGCTGTAGCTCCAGCTGATTGCTCCCCAGAGGATCTTCCACAAGCCTTAACTTCTCCCCCTCGTAGTGAGTGGCTGGTAGTCCCTTGAGTGAAGGCTGCCAGGGTTATATGGTGATTCTTCTAATACACAAATGAAAAAAATGTTGGGGCTGGAAAGACAAGGATTATAGGTGTTATCTTAAAAAATATTTTTGTACTCAGCTCAGATCAGTAGGAGCAGTTGCAGTGAAAGAGATTTAAATCATAGCAAAGAATAATTAATTTGCTCATTAAAGTTATTCTTCAGAAATCCTATGCCTCAGAATATCAAATTATAACACACATTCTAAAATTAATAAATGATCTGATTTCATAGAAAAGCTCCCTCTAAAGAAGAGGGAGGAGTTTAAAACATTGATTTCTGAGGATCAGCTGCAAGACATTTCTCTTGGAGGCAGTAAATGGTGCAGAAACAGCCCATCCTTCCTATGCCACCTCTGTGACCAAGCTCAGGGGCTGTGTCTGCTGCTCCAGGCCTGCAGTGGGGAGTTATGGGCTGTTACAGCACCGGTCCCTCTTGGTAGGATTCCTTAGGCCCATTTCCCTTCTGGGGTACTCTTTCTGCTTTAGGCTTAGGGTATGAAACCACTCAGTTGAGCCATCTATTATTCAGTGTCTGTCTGGGAGGTTCAGCAGGCACCTGTACAGAAACACTTTCATTGCAGTTCTGCTTTGGCTCCTGTGGTTCCACTGGTTACCTTGTCTCCAGCCTTTGCTTGGTTGTTGCCTGTCACCAAAGATAAACTTTTTACAGGAGCTGCATCTTTGCTCTCCCATTTCAAGGTTGCCTCCTGTTCTTTTCAAGAGGACTGCGTTTAATAGCAAACTCCTGGGTCCTAGATTGTTGGATATTTCACATAGTAATAAGAAGAGAAAGTTTTCACTTATTTTCCTATCTCATGTAAACTTGTCACCAAACTTGCCAGAAATGGTTTGTTGTTAGGTGAAATGGTTTGTGGAAATGGGATATTGTGTCTTTGCATTCTTGAGACGTGTCTGCAGGTGAAGCTTTCCCTTTATAAAGCTGACAGGTGTAGGGATGTTCCCTGCTGTGTCCCCTCACTGTCCCCAGTGCTGTGCAGTGGGGACAATGCACTGCAGGTTTACTGTGCAATGTGTTACAGAAAAGTTGTGTTAAACTGGGTTACACAGAATTGTTTCTTAATACTAATGTTCACTGTTTTCTCCTCAGAGACAATGCTGGATCACATAAGGAAGTCTCATGGCCGGGCTTTGCGAACGAAGATTTGGGAAGGGCTCTACCCACATTTGTTGCAGGCGCGCTGGTGGCTAAAAAGGCCAATACGAGACAGGCGTGTCCGGTTGCAAAAGGCACAGCAGAGAGACTCCTTAGGTGGAATATTCTGCAAGGCACGATTCTTTCTGCCTTGTCTTTTCTCCTCAAGAGTGATCCTGCTGCTTTCTCAAAGGCATCTGCAGCGTTATAGATGGTGTGTCTCCAGACCTCCCGATTGGAGGCCAGAGTAGACCAGTTCTGGTGATCAATATGGCCAAGGCTGAGATGTTGTTTCAGGGAGTCCTTGTATCTTCTCTTTGGGGCTCCTCTCTTGCGGCAGCTGGTGACAAGTTCACCATAAAGCAAGATCTTAGGGAGGGGGTGGTTGGTCCTTCATCCTGGAGACGTGCCCTGCCCAATGCAGCTGTGTTCTCAGTACCATGGCCTCAATAGTTGTGACTGCTGCCTGTTCTAGAACAGATGTGTTGGTCACATCATCTGACCAGTGGATGTTTAGGATTGTTCGGAGGCAGCGTTGATGGAAGCACTCTAGGAGACGCAGGTGGTGGTGGTAGACGACCCATGATTCAGAACCGTATAAGAGAGTAAGGAAGTCTAGTTTAATATTAATTACATATCAGCAGCTCATAAAAACCCCCTTTCTGAAGTACCTGTTTTTTCTGCTTTTTTCTGCCTGCATAAGGATAAGGCTGTTTCATTGCCTTCCTGGATGCAGTGTATGGAATACTGAGGCACTGCTGCTGGCTCAGGCAGTCCAGGAACTGCAGCAGCTGGAGGTGGCAGGAATTCGAGGTGGGGGTTACAGAATCTCATGATTGCCATCTTTTAATTATCCCTAGGCTCTTAGTCACTTCTGAAACCAGGTCACTGGGCTAGAGAGACCTTTTGGTCTGACTCAGTGTTGCTGCTCGGATGTTAATGCTGACAGTGACAGCCTGACATTAATCCCTTGGGGGCCAAGAGTTCAGATTGAGGGTAAAATCTGAGCTACTGAGTCCAACCCCATGGTACTCTGTTTTAGCTGGACGTTACTTGCTGCTCTGATTTTCAGAGATAGATGAATGCAAGCTGATTGGTACAACTGCTATTCTAAAAAATGCTTTGCTGAGGAGTTTATGGCTTTTAGGAGTTTGGTTTTAAACTAGCTCCTCATTTAGCTGCATGCAGGGATTGTCACTTCATTCATTCCATTTCGATCCTGTATTTAGTGCTCAGTGGTAAAGTCTGATCATCTTCTTCCTTTTTCACACCGTATTTTCCCACGTGGGGTGACTGGCTCTCCACTGAGGGGGCATGTTGGAGAAACACAGTGTCAATAAAGAGCCAGGTTAGAAAGCTAACAATTTACTTGAATGATGGCACAATAAATGGTCACATTAGCAGAGCATTCTATGTTTACTTTGTTTCAATAAATGAAACAAGCTCAGCTCTAACCCAACCTCGAGTTTACAGCATCGGGACTGTGAGCCCACTGAAAGCTGGGGCTGTAAAAATAACCCAGAACTGAACTCCTCCTTTTCAGTGGTTAAGTTGTACTGGGGTGGATTGTTTTACATTCCTATAGGAACAGTGACTGGAAGGAAGAAGATCAGTGGGTTTTCCAGGCTGTTATCAATCAGTATCCAAGTGATCTTCAGAGGAGGAGGACTTTGTACCTGGATATGCTGCAGAGATACCTTCCCCACAAATCCTGGCATGAGCTGGTCAGTGTTGGCTTCAATATTCGTTCAATTATACAAATTCTTACATAAATTATGTAGTGAGCAGTTGTATTAAAGAATGTTTATCAAAGTTTTTTTGTTTTAAAATTTCTTAATTAAAAATTTTATTCTGCATAGTGAAGAAGAGATGTGCCTGTTTTCAAAATGCAGGACCTTTAAACCTACTGCCTCTTCAAAACAAGCCCTGGGGAGATTTTATAGTTCCACACACTCTTACAGCCAAATTCACAAAATAATTTGTTAGCACTGCTTTTGCTGTGCTGTTTTATAGCCATGTCATGCTCCTCTGCTTCTCTTGGTGTTTTTATTTTTCATGAGGATGTAGAGCCTTGTCGCACTGCCTAGTAATAGTTATTTTAATTGTTCTGTGGCACATATATAGGAAGAAGAGTGAAAAGTTATCTCCTGCTCTCAGGTAGAGGCTATTTTTATATGTATAATGCCTTTCAAATTGATTGCTGATTCCTCTCATACTCCACAGTGAATAAGCACACAGCACTAATAGAGAAACCCATTTCAAGGCCAGAACACTTCAGGAACTCATAAGGAAAGTAGGAGGCTTTTTTTTATCTCTGGCTGTATTTTTAGACCATCTACTTCCCTGTGTTTGAGGAGTGTCTAGTGCAAAGGAGTGACAGTGAAGTGATACTGATAATTAGCCTGAGTTTCACTAAAAATAAAGTTCTTATGGATTTTGGACCTTTTGCCTTGGAGAACTGGGATGAATAGTCATGTGCTTTGGACAATGGAGATGTATTTTAAGCACAGCCACTATTATTGGTTCTAATTCTTTGAAGGTTCATTTAAAATTTAAGAATGCTAAATTTAAAAATCTAACTCTACATTGAGCTGATATCTCTTAGTATGTGTATTAGCATGATTCTTAGTGCTAAGAATCTGTCCTTAAAGTGTGTGTGTAACATTGGAATATCAGCCTGAGAGCCTCCCAGGCCTCCTCCCCTCCGTGCACGATGGTCAGTGGACAAGCTCCCAGTGCCTGATCCTGTCAGAGCTCGTTGGAGAGGCCTGTTTTCGGCTGAGCAAACTCTCCATCCCATGCCTTTTGTCTCAGCTTTGGCAGTTTGTGAGTCTGGGGCAGCAGCCCTGACAGAGGGAGCTGATGAGGTGGTGGCCTCGTGTTTAATCAAAGGGAACATCCAGGGCCATCTTCATCCAGCCACAAGCTGATGGGAATGTCTGTGAGCCAGGCACAGTCAGCATCCCCTGCCAGAAACCTGGAAATCAGCCTCTAGAATGGTCTCCTGGACACCTGTGAGCAGCCAGCCATCTCTAGAATCTCCTTCATCCCTGTAACTTGTATTTTTGGGGATATAAGACAGGCTCAGGACTCAATGGCCTCGGTCTATGCAGCCTTACCTGCTACTACTTCTGTCAAGGTCTTGAAGCCTGAATGTCCTTGGGAACCTCGCTCAGTTAGGCCAAAGAGGGTGTATTTTGGATTAAACACTCCCCATTTTTGCTAGGTGGTGATGCTGGTGGTGGCACTGTGCTGCTTGGCAAGCTAAAATTCTATTTCCAAATTCCCTGTTAGGAAAGAAGTGAAGCTGATTCTCACCTGTGCTGCTTTTGTACAGCTGTTTTGGTGTCCTATTTCTCTGTAGATCACAATTTGCTAAGAAAAACCTCATCTTGCTGGAAGTACTCAGTATCTCTGGAGATGTATTGGAAGGACATTGTATTATATGTCCCTCAGGGCAGGAAGGGATCATTGCATTCAATTCCTATTGCAAAGGTGCAGTTCAGCAAAGAGCAGTGGGCCAACAGGTTGCTGGAGTGCCACATGGTGCAGGCAGAGAGGGCAAGGCTGGAGAGGGGTCACTGCCCTGGACACCTGGACATCCCTGGCAGAGTGCACTGGCCCTGCATTGTGGATTATTGGTGATAATTTAAGTATTCTCAAGGTTTGTAAAAATATCTAGAATAATTTTATATTATTAATTCATAGTTTTTAAACCCTTCTGAAATGCTTTCCTCTCTCAGGTTGCTCATGAGAAAGCCTGGGATCACTGCCATTCCATCAGGAATCAGCACAGAGCCTTGCTGCTGAGCTGGGCTCAGGCTAGGAAAGCCTTTGTCCTTAGGGCAGTGGCAACTGCTGCTGAAGCTGCTGCTGCTCATGAGGCAGAAGTGGTGCTGGCTGACTCCAGGCAAAAGCAACTGGAGATCTGTGCTGAGCTGAAAGCAAAGGTATGTTCGGTTATAAACCCACTACAAATCTGTTTCTCACTGAGAAATTCAAAATGAAGTTTTTAGATTAACACTAGTCTCTTTTCAGAGAAATAATGAGTATCTGTATACCCTTCTGTTTATTTTTAAGAATACTTTCTAAGACCTGAAACAATGGATCCTCTAACTTGTTTGCTCTTGCTATGGAAGCTTCACAATATTGTGAATTTACTGTGTTGAGAGGTGAAAAAAAAGATGAAAATACCTGGGTGTTTTTGGTAAGAGAGTAAAATAAAATGGGAGGAGCCTGGGTACAAGAGGAAGGTGTTGTGATGTTCATGCCTAAGGCATTTGTAGGAGGAATCCCATTTCTGGGCATGAGAGGCATGTTAAGATTTGTTTAAGCTGTTCTCTGTGATTTTTGACTTGCACAGAAATGAACATCTGAGAGCAGGCACGGTGTGTTATTCTCACTTTACCAACATTCTCTCTGCTGAGCCCTCACTTTGCAGTGAAACACTAAACACTTGATTTAGGTTTTCTACAAGTAGGAAAGCACAGTAAAACCTGCGCTGTGAGGGAGAACTTGGATGTTGATGCTAGTTTTTCACTTAGTAGTAACACAAAAGCCTTTCTGTCTCCTGTTCTGGAGCTGTCTGGTGTAAGAAGGTTTGACTCTAAACACTTTAGGGTTAGAAACTGTCTGGGCTTGACTCTGTGAGGAGTCCCCTGGCTCCTGTGGCAGCCTTCCCTGGAGCCACATGCAGTAAGGAGTGGTTCTCTGGAGCTGGGGGGTGTTTGGTGTTTTTTTACCTAGGCCTTCCTTTCTGGAATGCCTGTGTGTCTCCTACCTGCACAATCAGAGACGGAAAGGCCATTTATTCCTGAACTGTGAATTTGAGTCACTTTTTCTTCCCTTGTTTCTTCTATTTTTCTTCCCCACAAGAAGTGACAAGCATGTGCTGGAGTACTTATGTTGTTTCCATGTATCTTGAAATTCTCACAGATGCATTGAACATTGTCTACAAGTTTTTTAGATTCTGACCTCCTGTTTCCAGTTTGGAAACCTGGACCTGTTTGAAACTTAAACCTATTAGGCCTACACTGTTCAAGGGTGGCCTTCAAAGGGGTCTTTGTTAAAATGTCGAACGTTTGAACAAAAACAGCTCACCTGTTCCCCAGAAAAGAGGAATGAAAAAGGAACATATTTTTCATTAAGGGAGGATATCATTGTGACCTTGTTTTGATCAGCTCCACAGCTCAGAGGGCTGGGGGACGGAAGCTGAGACTGGGTGAGGAGCTCGCTGGTTTTCAGAGGAATGATTCTGAACATATCTGTGGGTCCTCTTTGAGTTTGATGGGGAGATGTGTTTGAAAACTCCTTGTTTGCCCAGTTATAGTTCATTTTACAGACTTGTCTTTCTGCACTTCTGGACTGTGCAACTACAGAGTGTTGGACACAGAAAGTGGCTGCTGGGAGCTGTCAGGTAAAAGGGAGATCTCAGTCCAGTGAGCCAATTTACATGGATAAAACCCACCCTGACAGGGATCCTAAGATAGCTGAAAAGGGAATCTGTCTCTGATGAGTGAGTTTGGAGCTGGAAATCAGGGATATTAGGGCTGTTCTCCCACCTTTTCCCTTTGGCCATTGATTGACTTAACATTTTGGTTTCACAAGTTTGGCATAAGGGAATCTTACTCGTGTCACTTTGCCACAGGGGCCGTGGAGTTGCTATAATGATTTAGCTGTGAGCAAACTCTAAGTATGCTTGTGAGAAGGTTGTATCTGACTGAGAGGGACAGAGCTCTCCTTGTTACAGCAGCAGGTTTCAGAGAAAGCCACAGCATTTCTGTGCCTATTGACATCATCTGTAAAGGAAGTGATGGCACGTGCACTGTAAGATCTGTAATACCTGACAGGCTGTCCACGGTCTTAATTACTGCAATAACCACATGATATATCTAACTTCTATATAGTTCTTTTCCTCTGTCAACAACCAACCAAAGGTGCAGTAGACTGAATAAAGAATACGTGATTTAAAGCTGGTTTAAATGCACTAGGAGCCATTGCACTATGCCATTGGTGAGACTCTAGGCCTTGTGACTGACAGCAGGTGATAACAATTAAAAAGTAAAGCAGCAGAGAAGTTAAATTATTATTTATAGCAGTTTTTACTTGGGGAAAGGACTTTCAAACTCTTATTCCATATTCCACCTCACAGAAGATCAATGTGTGTCCTTAACAGAAATCAGAGTCTCTAAGGAGGAATTTTGGAACAACTCAAGAGGCTCAGGTGAAATAAATCACAAGGGCCATATGGTAGTCGTCTGAATGAAGCAAAGTGTGAAAGAATGATGCTGGGGAGGATGCACTGCGCATTCTGAGAGAGGAAATGTGTCTCATGTACATATCTTTAACACCCCTGTTTGCCATGGGAAAGCAAACAAAACAAACCCTGGGGGGTTACACTTGGGTGAGTGATCAAGAGTCACTCAGTTTGGTGTGCTTTGTACTGAGGAGATCTGCCCTTGTCAGGCTTCTCAAGTAGACACTGTGTAAAATATTCTTTCTGTATAAAAATCCTCTTTCTAAGCAACACAAAGAAGCAGATTGTTCCATGTCGCAAAGTAGGTAAGGCATGAAGTGAGGAGTGATCTTTTCGGAGGGTTGGGGGGTGCTGCCTCACAGCGGGGTTTGAAGGGTTGAAGTACTTGCTGTGATACCTCTAGAAATTCAGTCGAGGCGTCTGCATGCTTTCCAAACATTATTTTCCTATTGGATCTATCTTAAAATATTTGTAATCCAGTACTTTCCCTCTTTGTATAAAACAGTTTGAGAAGAGCACACGAGGGAAGACCTACAGCAGCAGACAGAAGGGTAGTTTGATCTCGTGTGTGATGCTTAGTGTGAGCTTTTCCTTCCTCAGCACAAAGCTGTGTGCCTGCCTGCCTGCCTGCCTTTAAATCTCTTCTCTTCTTTGTTTTGAGTCCCAGGATTAATCCCCCCTTCAGTGCTAAAATCTCTTGCAACACATTGTGAATTTTGGGAGAGCAGCTCTTGCATTCCTTATCCTGGCAGAAACTAAAATAAATTAATTTTGAAAGGAAAAGCGTTAGATGAAATTAACTGGGATATTGCAAATTGTGTAAAGCACGTTGCAGATTGCCTTCCTTTTCCTTTCCTGTATTAGAGGAAAGAATGTGTTAGTCATGGCTGGGCTTCGCAAACAAAGATTTGGGAAGGGCTCTACCCACGTTTGTTGCAAGCGCGTTGATGTGTTAGTAAACTCGGGGAAAAAAAATATTTCCCTATTCACCATATAGTCAAGTCACTGATTTAAATGCTTTGACTGCTAGAGGAGATCAACACTGAAGTATTAAAACTGAATGTAAAAAAAAAAAAAGTCTGCACAGGTATCACATCTAGTACTTTGACTATAATCTGATCATTTTGAAGGACACTTTCAAAAATAAATATTTGAATAGTGAGATACTTAAAAGAAGAGTTTTCTTTTTCAGAAGCATTATCTGTTCCCTACTGAGGTGGCCCATTCATTTGTTAGACATAAAAAATACAAGCTTTAATAAATGCTCCAAAGTGGATGTGAGCAAATATCTAAGACTTTAACATTCACCAAAGATGAGCCAGCTCTGATTCAGCAGTACATTTTTAATCCAGACCTAATAAACCTGGATTTAATAATTTGAGGTCAGCACAGCATTGATGAATTGTGTCTCTAGGGTCAGATGAAGCTCGTCACAGTAAGTGTGACGCACTTGCAGACGTTGGCTCTGCAAATTTGCCTTGCTTGTCCTTTCACCCCTCCATTGCCCCCCGTTTTCCTGTGCACCGTGTTCTCTCACACGATGTTATTTCTGAATCTATCACCTCCTACTGAAATCTCACAATGGATGCCTGATGTTTGCCTGTAGCCCCAGGAGTGCCCAGAGCCCTGTGCTCCAGAGGAGCTGACCAGGGCAGTTTGTTAAACCACTGTGTGTGTTTCTGTTGATCCTTCCAAGGACACCGTCACAAATTCGAGCTTCATCCATTGGGCATAAATTGCAAGCTTTTGGGAACAGAGGACTGCAGGGTGCCCTGCATGGAGGAGACCAGGGACTGACCTGTCAGCTCTGAGATCCACTGGAACAACCCATCGCACCCAAAATTTCAGCTGAGCAGAGGAGCACGTGGTGCCTCAGCCTGGGCTGTAGCACACTCAGCTACCCAGCTGCTGGGCTTGTCAGAGCCCGGAGGGTCTGCAGGGTGTTTGAGACATACACTTGTCTCTCAAATTTAGTTAACATTGTCTGGTGGTCCCCAAAATTACTTGAGGATGGGTCTGCTGGACAAGCAGATAGTTCATGCAAAACATATTTTCTTAGCATTATCTCCTTCAGCAAGGAAAGTGGCACTTCAGGCAAGAAAAATTGCGTTGAAATTTTGCAGAAGTAGTAGAGGATCAAAGGGAGTCTCCTCCATATGGTGGCAGATAGGACTAGGAGAGAGAGTACTGTATATAAAAGGATAGCAAATTCAGATAAGTAGTTGTAAATAGAAATACAGCCTACTTAAGGTCATGCTTGTGTGAATATCTAAGCCTACATAGTATTTAAACTTGTTAATAAAGTGCTTACGCTCCTGTTGTCAAGAACAGAAAGATGTTCTCTAATGCTGGCTGAGAAGGGAGGGACTACAGGGACAAGCTGTGAGAAGTAAACTGTTCACACACAGCCTTGAGCAAAGATGATTTGATGTGGTGTCAACTCCAGGGAGCTGACAATGCTCCTGTATGGGATCCCAAGTTTTATCAGTACTGATCCCAGCCCAGTTTCCTCACTGAAAGCAGTGTCTCATTCCTCTTCGAGTCATGACTGAGGGTTGTGCTCCAATGCTTTTCTCTCATATCCCTTTTTCAGATTTAAACACTTGTACAGCTGAAGGCAATGTTCTGTTAACAATCAAAACAGTTACTTTCAACCAGTTCTCTGATTTTTTTTTTGACCTCTTAGAGGTAGCC